TTCTGTTTAAGCTCTTTATTTAGGCCACTGTTTATAACATTTCTTGCTATATTATTCATTTCACATTCTGTCCTCATTTTTCTAAATGATATTCAATATCTAGTGCGTAAAGATAGGTAACATTTTACTTCGTACATAGGAAGGATAAGATGGTGTGGCCTTAGGTATGGCCGCAGTCTCATTTAGTTGTACAGTTTTGTTTTAACCTCGTTTTAGAGAACTTATTAAAGCTTCAAGGAGACCTTGTGAAACGTACCTAGTCCTAATTCCTTTGTCATAGTATTCATTATAATTTCCTGCATCGGGCCCTTGACTTGGTAATGTATACAGTCATTAGTTCGGTGCTTATATTGATTATGAATTTTATGGCAGAGTACGCAGTAGTGGATACGTTTCATCAAGTTGCGATAACGAGGTTAAACCAACACATTAATCTTCTTTCTCTCATTTGTTCCCATCTACAGACCATTTTTAATATTTCTATCGATTCCCAAGACAAACCAATTTAGTCTGGCTTTTATTAGACTAATAGCGCATTTACTTTACACGATTCGAAAAGAATACTCACTTCTGCAATGCATTTTTTTCTGCTGTGCATCACAAACTGCCGTTCTTATTATTCTCTCCTCCCTGAAATTTTATTGTCACTGCATTCCTTGGTCAGGGCACGAGTTTATCAGTACCACAGCACCGTGTCTGCTTCACTATTTAATTCAAACTCTTATTTAGCTATATTTAAGTTGCAAGTGTTCTATCTAATTCAAAGAAATTTTAAGATGTGGAATTTCGGCCTTCATATCATACAGGTTCCGAATACTCAAATAAAAATCTATTTAAGCCATTTTAAGCATATGTTACTTGGGCTTTTCTGGTGATTTCCTGTGTCAATTTTCTTCCTATCCTCTTTTACACGTTTTTCAGGCAGACGGTCGAGGCCGTAGTCGTTCTGATTCCCGCTCTCGCACACGCCGTCGTGATCGCAGTAGTGGCAGTAGTGGTGCCAACTCTTCAGGTAGCGACAGTGATCGAGATGATTCTTTAGGCGATGGCGAAGCAAATTCTTTGGATGAAGACAACCGTCCTTTCCCTGGCCGCAAGCCATCTTCCACAGAATCAATGAATCGGCTTGGGCCTCCTCACCTTGCTTACATTACGGCCTATCCTGTTATGGCGATCGGCCAAGGTGTGAAGACCGGCAAGGAAGCTTTAGCTTCCGCAGCTTCAGCACCTATACTTCAGTGCATGCAAGGCCAGCTGACTCACAACTTCAGTGCCTATGCCAAGCAGGCGGCAGCTATGGAAGCCGCTGGGTTGCCTCCACCACCACCCGGAGCCGCTGGAATGGCTCCACCGCCACCACCGCCCGGAGCAGTCGGTCTCCTATTACCATCAGGTCAAGTGGGTGGCCCAACTGGTGGAACACCTAGCACTCCCGCTTCTTCAGCCAGCGGATCTCAGGCTCCATCCTCGGTCTCGGCTCCTCCAGGATCCGCCCCACCCTCTCTAATGGCTATTCCTCCTCCCTGCATGGTCAACACTGCTGCCCCACCACCTCCACTTCCTCCTCATTTTACTCAGGCCGCTATTCCCCCTCAGGGGTTGCATTCGAATTCATCTTCATCGACAGGCCCAACTGGAGTTGGACAACCACAACCACCCCCACAAACTGTTGGACTTATTGCCCGATCTGTGATCACTCACTCCAGGTCGAGATCCAGGCAAGTGGCTAATGACTTTATATTGTTTAATATTCGTTTTTGTGTTTCGATTAGGTGGTGTTTCATCTTTTTTCGATTATTAAATTGATTTAAGAAATATAACTTAGGGAGACCTGTAGTTAGACCGTACATTTTTAAGGCTCATCTAGGTATTTTATTAACGTATCTATTATTGACTGCCAGCTAAGCAATATGTAACTCGTTTATTTAGTGCTATACATTCTATAGCATTTTGTTTGCGCCAATTTTCTTATTCATTACTACTTCCTTTTCTATATTTAGCTAAAATCTCAAGTTGTTGCTATTTGGAATGATAAGTTTAGTATAAATTTTAATCCGAAAAATTAAATAGACAATTCTTTTAAATTCGTTTTAGCAAGATAGACTGCACATACTTAAAAACTCATTTTTCATTTAGTATGTGTTTGAGTTACCCTATATTGTTTTAAATGGTCAAGGCAACTAGGAAGTGAGTACAAGACCTCAGTATGCCTCTAGATTTCATTTAGTCTTGCCTCTCAAAAAGCTTTATTATTTTATCGAAGGTATGAATAACAAAATGGTGTGGCCTTTTGTTTAGTCGCAGTCTCCCTTCGTTGTAAAGAGGTTGTTTTACCTTATTTTCGCAACTTGGTCATATTGGTATAAAGACTTAAAGGAACGTACCTAGTCCGTAGTCCATTGTATGCACGATCATTTACAGAATAGGACCGTGGATGTGGCACATTGACATATGTTTCGCCGGCAGCGTCAGTGAGTCTCGCCATTCGTAGCACCATATTACAGCTCGTTAAAGAGACAAGTGAAGCCGATCCTTTGACAAAACCTGTGATAAAGATTTATGGTATCTCTCCTGGCCAGGGCTATTTACATTTCCTATATATTTTCCTATCATGCCTTCACTCTTACGCTTTTTCCGTGCTTATTTCGATGTAGTGGTGTGCTCCTTTGAGCGGCATTCATGAAAACCCTTCACACTCCACGCTTTTGTTCTCACCTCCTTCACACTTGCGCTGGAAATATTGATCAGAGTCTGCCATATTGTTACGCACTCCTTCCCTAGGTTTTATCACAGTTTCTCTCTTACCCTGTAAGATCCGTCTACTCTCTCCCTGGTTCACATATTTCACTCGAACCCTGCCACCCATTTGTGCTGCTCGAGGCGTTGTTTGCCCTCCCCTGCGTCTGAGTGGCTAATTCGAGGCTAAAGCCTCTGAGTAAGTTTCATGGTCACGCTTTTGCTACATGGACCAGGTCTATGGTGAAAACAAACCTACTGTCAGCCAACTAGCTCTAGTCTCCACCACGTCTATCCTGTTTCTATCCCTAATACCAAGTCTATGACTTATCATGCCCTAGTCTCTTGTGTGCCAACTCACACATGTTATGGTGTGGCTTGCTTTGATTAAGTTCAATGTTAAACCACAACTTTTGTGGGTTGACACACAAGAGACTAGGGCATAGGAAATCATAGACTTGGTATTAAAGATAGGAGGATAGAAGCAATGAAAGCTAGAGCTAGTTGGCTAATAATAGCCGTGATTCAAGGATCACGTTTATTGTTGGCAAAATAGCTTTAGTCTTCACCGCGTCTTTCTTATTTCTATCTGTAATACCATGTCTATCACTTAAGTGTGTCAACCCATAATTTTCGTGGTTCCAATTGTCTTAATTAGGCTTACTGAAGACGTCTCCTCTTTGCATCTGATTGTTCCCTTCTTATCCCCCTGCGATTTCTTTTTCTAAAATTAAGGATGTTGCCATGATCCAGTCGTCTTCTTTTTTCTGGTCTTGCTGTTGCCTGGTCTTCTCCAAGTTTGATTATGCAATATGCAAAGTTTTCGCTAATCCTGCCTTCTTCAAGCCTCCTGTTCATTAGATTTATTTCTGTCATTATATCGATGGCCTCTCGGATCTTGCGTTTTCTCGTATTTTCATCATATGCAGCCAACCTTTTGGTCGATTTCCAGTCGATTTTCAGTCGATTTTGTGCCCCGTTCGTGAAATGTGTTCCGCTATTTCGGATCTTTTCGTATCCATGTTCCTGCAGAGTCTATGATGCTCCTTGATTTGTAGGCAGATTTTTCTTCCTGCTTCACCAATATTCTTCTGCTCACAGTTGCTGCATTTGATACGATAAACTTCCGAGCAATTATGTTTGTCCATCTTCTCGTGTTGCGTCGGCAGACTGGTGAAAAGTGTTTTCTTCTCCTTTTTTATCACCTTGATATTCCATTTCCTAAGTAACGGTCGTAATTGATGGCTCAGTTCTGATGAGAGCAGCAAATC